ATTCTCCCGGCGGAATGCAAGTGATAGGCATATAATAAATCTCGATTATTTCCTTTTATATCGCTGGCTCTGAAAAGAAAATTATATACTGCACCCCTCGGTGGGTTAAAAATCTAATAAATGAAGTTTTCTCGACGTATGGCCACAACCTTCTATTCAGGCGAAAAAGAAGTCGGCCCGTAGCAGACGACGCGTAGGTTCAGCAGTGCTCCTCTCCGACCAATCTCCGAAAAATGGCGGTCGTCTCCTCCCTGCTCCCTTCTTTCTCTCTTGCTCCATCGGCGCTCTCCTCCCTTTCATTTACTTTTCTCCTCTCGGGCGCCCTCGTCGCCACACCCACTGGCCAAACTCTCTCTCTGTTATGACTGGGCAGACATCGCCACCTCGCAGCGAGCGGCGGAGTTTGTGCGATTACACCCGTACTGCTGGGGAGCGACTCGAATAAAGCGGCCAGAGAAGCCTTCGCGCGCACACTTCGGGATCTCGGAGTTTATGGCCCTGTGCGGTAACAATGCCCCGCAAGATGTCGGGGCGGTCAGGAGGGAGGTAGGGTGCCTACATGCCTGTCTGTCTCAGGGTGAAGACATCCATTGTTGCCTTGAATGTGCCAGCGCGTGACGCTCTCGCGCACTCGGTGCGTGACTTGGGCGGTGAAATGGCGTCTATGCATTAGCCAAAGCTACGCGCTCGAGCGAGTGACACCGGATTGCGCGCACTTCAAAATGCATACAAAAAAACGATTGGGCGGAAAAATGGCTGAGATGTCACCACTCAAGCAAAAGCGCGCGTGTGTATGAAGGCACTCTAGAGGGAGGTAGGTTGACTACATGTCTGTCTGTTCGAGGGTGAAGACATCCATTGTTGCCCTGAATGTGCCAGCGCGTGCCGCTCTCGCGCACTCGGTGCCTGACTTGGGCGCTAAAATGGCGTCTATGCATTAGCCAAAGCTACGCGCTCGGGCTGAGTGACACCAGATTGCGCGCGCTTCAAAATGAATAAAAAAACGATTGGGCGGTAAAATGGCTAAGATGTCACCACTCAAGCAAAAGCGCGCGTGTGTATGACGGCACTCTAGAGGGAGGTAGTGCGACTAAATAAGCTACGCTTCAGAGTAACGACACTTCGCCATATTGTGGCTTAAAATCATTGTTGCCAGTTATCTGAAGCTTTATCTGAAATCACAATAAACACTTTTCCGCCCTCCAGAACTGTTTAGACAGTTCACGATGGAGCAAAGCAATATTACAATAGCTTCCGAACACCGAATCTAATTCTGAGGAAGTCGCACTTTTGAGTCATGACGATCGGCAGTTGCGTCTGCTCTGCATGCGAGCCAGAATGGCGGCGCCCACAACAATGTCGGGGAACAGAGTGCCGATACTCTAAGCGCAGCTTATTCAGTGGCTCTAGAGGGCGGCATCGCCGGAAGTCGCGTGATTTGTATCACTCCTCGTGCTTACCGCGACCGCGTGTAATATATTTCTGAGTATTTTTGTTATTCTCCACACCTACGCGAGCAATCCAAACAAACAATTTTTTCTTTTCGCTTTTCATTGTCTTGCGTTGCTGTAAAGGTAGGAGGAGAGGACCCAGTGAACCTAGTAAACAAGTTCTACTCATGTTCTAGACAAAACACGTACTTTTTGCTCGACGTTTACTTGTACTTGGTACACTCACCAGTTCGTCTTCTTTAGACGGCAGGAATCTTCAGCCTGGAGAGTATCCGATGATTCGACGACCTCGGTGTCTGAACGTTCAACACTGCGATCGGGCGTGCTATATGCTAGCAATCCTATCTGAAACCGTTCTTTTTTTTTTTCTTTTTTTTTTCAAAACACGATAGCTTTTTTTTTTTGTGTGTGTGTGCGCAGTATGGCTCTGTATCATTAGACTGAGGACATGCACTGGTACACTGGCTTGTACTCGCAACGCTTTCATCATTGAACTCCATCACGTCGATCCACTAAACTAAGCAACGGTGCAGCGATGAAAAACTAATGGAACTGAAACTTCGTTTTCTACGATCGCTCATGTAAAAGACCAGAATAACAAAATGAAAAAAAAAATTTAGGCACAGTCGCGTAGAGCATGAGGAGTGAAACTCAAGTGACTTCCGGCGAATCTACTTTTAGTGTAGTGACGTAGGTCGATGCCTCCCTTCGGACCGCCCCGGCACCTTGCGGTACAATGTTACGTCACAGGGTACTGGTGGGCACTTTGAATTGGGCTTCGTATTTCTATTTCTTATAAAAAAAAAAAATACTACGCAACTGTTAAGTGAAACTATTTTTTTTTTTTTTTGATGTCCTCAAATACAATTTTAACGCCTGACATGATTTTTTTGGCGTGTCAGAAGCTTTTGAACAGAATATTTTGGACGATATTTCCACGACCTTCAAAAAGGAGAGGCTTGAAAAAGATAATAGCACTGCAAACGAAACCAAACAGCGCTCTGCGCGGCGAGCTTCTGTGGTGGGTGTGTAGAAAGGGCCGATAAATCTGATGTGTCGGGCCCTTTACGCTACTTGCATTCTTTTCAAAATGGCTCTAAGCAAAAGAAGGCGCTGATTATTCTCCAGCCTTCTGGCATTTTTCATCCCTTTTTAGGCAAAAAACAAAAAAGAAACATCGTAAACGCCTTCATCCACTGTCCTACTCGAGCTCGTGCTTACTGTTATATTTCGTGCGAACGTACGTTTTTGAAGCGCGGCCTTCGATGCTCCCTGGCGAAGGGGACAGAGCTGTCATTTCCGCGGCAGCTTCAGTGAAGGTTTTCCTAATTGAAGACAAGAGGAAGACTTACACCATCTCTATTTCTATCTTTTTATGGAACTCTTTTTGTTATAATCATTTTAGGAACAACAATGGGCCATTAGTCAAGTCAGTGTTTACGCCGAAAGCTGCCCACATGGTTCTACTTCTTAATGTGTTCATTGCCTCCACAATGAACATTTTAGCAAAGCGAGGACCCTTGAGCAATGTGGAGAACGTTCCCTCTACAACAATAAGTTTAAAATATTCCTGCTTATTACAAGCCTTCCAGACTTCGGACTTCCAGAAAAAAAAACAGTTACAATAATAAAAATTAATTTAAAGTAAAAAAAGGGCAGGGGAGATTTTTTTACAAGCAGCAAATAAACGACATTCTTAGAACACTAGGTTGCAAAATATATATGATTGCGCTACATAGAAAAAGGTTCGGCACTTCTATCCCTGGGCGCTTACTGGAAAGCGAATCGTGCCATTCATTAGATTGGCGCGTTCTGTACGGCTATACATTGTAATTTACTTTGATTGAACACAATATCTTACCCACTTTTTCAGTGATAACATTACACAAGAAGGTACAAATGTATAACTTTAAAAATAACTTAGGCTTTCCAAAAGGTACTGTGTCAACCAGCAATATCATCATCATGACGAGAGCCCCCAAAGCCACCTTTAGCCCAGGGCCTGAAATCTTCTAATATGGCTAATATTGCAAGGTCGGCATGCCTGCATACGCTACGACATTGGCAGAAGCGCGGGAGCAGCGTCAGCGCGGAGGAGCTCCACCACACTCCCTACGCTGACTCAAAAGTGGCCGCGGGCGGCGCTGTTCGCTGAGGGATCGGTACCGGCTCCTAGCGGACGCAGGGTGCCCATAGTCCGGGGACTAATAGCCCGGAAAATACGGTGCTTTTGATTGTAGATTTAAAAGTGCGAGAAAAGTGAGGACAAAGAAGACACGGAAACTACACGACAGGCCCTAGCGCCAGTCCTGTTGTGTTCGTGTCTTTGTGCTCGCTTTTCGTAGTTTTAAACGTTTTTTAAATATTATAGACCAACTAGCCCAATCTCAATTTAGAAGGTTACTTTCTTTTTTCGGTCTTTGGTCGCCATCTCACTTTTTACCGAGGTATAAAATATCGCTGATATTAACGTTTAGCCAAACCCATACATTTGATGCTTAGTAAAAAGGCTGTCACTGTATTTTCTTCACAATGAAAATATTTTTGTTCATTCATTTTCTATGAGCCACCGATGCCAGCGCCAATCATTCGATTAGCCATGCTCTTTTTTCGTCATTACTGCCCATTCCCAATAAAACACTCAAACAGCAAATTAACATCATAGAATCTCTGGCTAGAAAATGTCACCATCCCGACTCCTCCATCTTTCCCCGTCCCCGGAAAATAAGTGCTGATTCAGAAACACAAACTGCTTTGGGAAACTGTACTCATTAAAAGCTGCTCTGCAGCACGGCACGAATCAACAACGCCGTGTCTTCTAGACCGTTCAATGAGCAACCTATACCTAAGTCTTAGAGAAGGGTTGCATGCTCTAAGATAACCTGTAGCGCTGATGCTTTTTTTTTAAGTAGGAATACCTTTGTTTAACCACTGCGCAGTGCGATCAAGAGGGAAATGTTTGGTCTGTTCTTAAAGACTGCAAACTCTTGAGGCGTCTTCATCATTAATTTCCTTCTTTTTATGGCTTTACCGTGTTTTGGTTAGGTACCCTGTTTCGTTAAAGAATATATGTTTACGTCAGTAAAAATACCGAAACCATCGACTTATAATTTTACAGTTGAAAGCGTAACAAGCGAACTTTTAAACATATTGCTAACGAGCGTGTTGGTAAAGTATACTAGGTAAGAAATAGTATCCTATCTGCACTCGTCTCTGTTTCGTCCTCTCTTAGTTATATACTTTCTGCTATCTAGAACATTTAACTATGTAATACCTATGCTTTCCGGACATTTTTAAGACCATCGAGTCAAAGACTTTCTTAGAATCGGCGATTCAGCTCGTGATACTATTCTGTGCGTCCAACATGACAGGCGCTAGTTCATCTATTTTACATAGGCCATCTGTTTGAATTACTTTGACCTGCCCATGAAGTAGAGATGGTTACGCAGCTCTTACTTTGGATGATTAAAACTGCGTCTTCAGATTTTTGTTTACTGCGGCACTTTAGGAGTTTTGCAGGAAACGCTTACACGTATGTCTCTTTTTAAGCATGGGTGCTGTGTATGACGGCGAGGGTCCTTCAGGAGTCGTGAGGGGAAGTGACGGTGCACCAGACTGTGACCCTAGCGATGGATTTCTCATGGGTCAATGGAAAGACGATGGGAACAGCTTTCGCTTATCTAGATGCAGTCCACACGATTTCGTGATGGGACTGAGGTAAGTTTGCTTTCGATTACGTTTATTCAGTGATATACAACATAATTTCTAGAACTACGTTTGGCTTGGTGTGAAACAATAATGCATACTTGCTGAACAGTTGTGAGACTGAGGTGCCCTCTTGTACTCGCCTGGACCAAATGAGCGAATCACGGACAATTAAGGATAGGCTGTGTACGCTTTACCTCTAAATGAGACTCCCATTCATGCAGACTTTGAAAAGAATTTGTTACGATCAATGCAGTAGTCACAATTTATTATTTTGTAATTCCGTAAGTGCCACGTTATTTTTTCGCAGCGGTCATATTTTGCTGTAATTTAACTACAAAGTTTGTGTAAAACTTGCCTTATGTTACCTCATAACTTTTATAAAAGAATATGAAAATAATACTGAACTAGATTCACTCAATTCAACAACACAAATAAGCTAAAAATTACAAAAATATATAAATATTATCATCAGTAAAAGTGGAATATTGTCAAGAATGAAGGAGATGAGAGGATGAACAGTGAACTGAAAATAAAGGCTTAATCGGCGAACTTGTGCCAAACAAAATAAAGAACGAGCGTCGAGACAGCAGAAAATTGGGCGGCGATTTTGCGGCGTAACAGCAAGCGAGAGCGAGACTGACTTGACAATGACGCGGGCCGCTCCTTATCTAGTGTGTGCGTCGTCAGGTAGAGAATTCGGCCTTGAAGGTTTGGGCATCGAGCGTTCGGTGTAAGAGTGATCAAGCACTTTTGAGAATAAGAAACTACGGCGAAATGATGAAAGTTACGCCCCGAGTAAAGGTTTTTTCACATGCTGCGATTCTCGTCACAAATCGGTGCGATTTCCAGTGAATGTGCGATTAAAAACGCAGTCGCACTGTCGCAGCGGCTCTGCGACTGGTTTAAACCAAGTTGGTATTTTGTCGCAGAGTCGGTGCGATCGCTTTCTCGTTCATTAGCCGTTCATTAGCCAGCTTTCATCCGCGATAGCTGCGTATTCGAAAATAAATTTAGACACCAAAGTGCTTTTGGTTTAATGCCTAATCATTAAAAAATTCTAGTTGCATACAGTATTCGTAAAACATTTCTGTTTATTAAGACGTTTTTGTTGTATTTTAGGCAGTCAAACGCGTTCCGTCCGTATCCGAAGAGCCGGCCGCGCCGACATAAATCGCGTGGTTGTTGAGCATCTGAAATCAAACATTGCGATCGCACTCGCTGCGTCGGCTGACGCACCGTTTTTTTTTTTTTTTTTTTTTGCAACAGTCGCTGCATGTGAAACAGGCTTAAGAATAAATGCGAACCTTCTAGAATACCATGACCGGGCGCTGCTTGCTCCTCGTCCATGCGCGTGGCAATGTGGCACTGAAAAGTTATTTCGATTTCAGCGATAAAGTCGTGCGCTTGTGGATGTTTGGGTGGGCAACTTTATTTTAGAGAAAGGAGACGAAATATGGCGAGAAGTCGAAGATTAGATCCTCATATTATTTAATTACTTGCGCCTGTGACATATTCTAACTGTAGTCGTTCGACTTTTATAAAGTTAAACAACTCATTACAATTGCGAGCATGGCGTCTGCAGTAGTGTCATGTGTGCAAGCACATGCAGTATGTGCGTGAGGGTAACTTTGACAGGCTTGCAGTTTGAAGTGCCTTTTTTACGCCAGCAGCGACCTGGTGCAAGCGAGACATCTTGTTTAGAATTATGTAGTCATGTGGGTTCACATATTGAATTATAAAGCTCAAAGGACAGACGGACATGAAGTAGACAGGACAACGCTTACCACGTTCTACTCAAAACTAGAGTTTTAATGGAAAATAAAGAAGGGAGAACAAAGAAGCGATAGAAATTATACGGAAGACAAAAATAACGAAAATGAACGAATAAATGAAAGAAGTGGGAGAATCACAAAAATTGTAGATATAAATTAATATAAAAAATAAATAAATAAATAAAAATTAACATATTTAACATTAAAGATATTAAAAATATTTTTTAACATTATTGCAACACAACTTTGAAGGATGAAGTTTGAGATGATCATCCCCCCAGCAAGAAACCTTCTGACACCTCATGCGGGGTGGTGAAAATATAGTAGTTCTTTGTATGATAAGGACACAGAAGGCTGACTGACACAGGCGCCACCACAAGCCTTGATTGTCTGCGCCTCGTAAAGTTCTCTTGATTTTTTGCCACGGTACGGTCCGAGGACTTCTGCCTTTTTGAAGGTCGATTTGGAGTGGCAGTCACGGACGTGTATTGCGAGATGTCCTGCCGGTGAGGAGTCGCGAGATGTTGCATGTTTTCGCAGTCTGGTATACCATTCACCTGCGGGAAAGTTAATGTGGAACAATCTGGCAAGTCTGTGAATACCGGACTGCGAGAACGTGCAACATCTCTCAACTCCCCACCGGCAGGACATCTCGCAATACACGTCCCTGACTGCCACTGCAAATCGACCTTCAAAAAGGCAGACTTCCTCGGACCGTACCGTGGCAAAAGATCAAGAGAACTTTACGAGCCGCAGACAATGGAGGCTTGTGGAGACGTCTGTGTCAGTCAGCCTTCTGTGTCCTTATCATACAAAGAACTACTCTACCTCCACCACCCCACATGAGCTGTCAGGAGGTTTCTAGCTGAGGGGATGATCATCTCAAATTTCATCCTTCAAAGTTGTGTTGTAATAATGTTAAAAATTATTTTTAATATCTTTAATGTTAAATATGTTAATTTTACTATTTATTTACTTTTTATATTAATTTATAACTACAATTGTTATGATTCTCGCACTTCTTTCATTTCTTCGTTTATTTTCGTCATTTTGTCTTCCGTATAATTTCTATCGCTTCTTTCTTCTCTTCTTTATTTTTCTATTAAAACCCCAGTTGTGAGTATAGCGGTCTCCTGTCTACTTCCTGTCCCTGAATTTCCTTTGCGCTTTTTAATTCAATATGTTAAACCAATTAGCTCACCTTAATATTTTACTACATACCGGGTGATTGGTTTATGACCCAACTGCTGCTTTGTTTTATAAGATGCCGCTTGCGATGTAAGTTCAAGAAATGTGCACAGCAAGCATTTCTATTGTGCATATTCATTGATACGCCGCCAGAAAGGGTGCGTGCGATTTGTAAAATGGCTTGTGTTCGAGCAATGTAAATACCAAACCTTTGACGCGCATAAGCGTCAGCTCAGCCAAAGCACACTTCGCTTTCGCGACCATGTTTTTTCTAATGCTACACGTATATATTAAGATCAAGAATAGTGCCTTTATTTTACCTTTACAGTGACCAAAATAAAGCAGCAATGAGAAAAATCGGAAGTCGCATAGAAACAAAATGAGTGTAAACGAAGACGTTTCATTTATGCACTACTTGAGAAGTACCGCGCAAAATAAAGTGACAGCAGCTTATGACGTAACGAGTAAAGTAATCGATTACTTTTATGAGAGTAATTAGTAAGGGTAATTTCTTGATTGCAATCGATTTAATTTTTAAGTAACGAGCACGTGTCTCCTCTAAAGTTAAAAAAATTGTCCCAGTTTACCTTTGTACTTACTAAAGGGTGCACACCCGGGTTCTTCAAATGAGACAGACAAATTTATTACCGAGTTCATTTCGGTCAAAATATTTGGGGCACCCGTTTACATCAAGTAGGATGCGCCTAGCTTGATTTTGCAGCAAGCTGGACGGAATCGTCATCATGTAGATTCCAGTTCTTCTCTAATTTTAAGGCGAATCTTGTTTGGGCTAAGCGTAAAAAATTATAACAAGGTCGATCAAATTTTAAAAACGTGGGGCCTCATCTCGGTCACTGGTAAATAGAGTGTGCTAATGTGTATCTTCTTATTTTCATCAAAACACATCTGAGTAAAGTATGTGAACATCGGCCTCAAGGCGCCCTTAATTAATCTGCTAGAGCTCAAACTAGATTAAACAAAAACAACCGTAAACCCCATACCCCACTTAAGTTAGACTCGTCAAAGCCGCAAAATCTGCTATAGATTTAAACCTTAGCTCTGCTTTACAATAACTACAATTAAAAGCAAGTATAAATGAACCACGCTGCATTTTGCAGGTGGTATGAACACATCAACACAGATAAAAACAAGCTTTTCCATAGCATTGGTCAACTACTTATTTGTTTTTTAAAATGTAACCCAAGAGCAACTGAAGCTTTCAGATAGATCATACAGGAAGGCAAACATACTTATCTGTGACCGCATCTAATTGAAACGCAAAAGTAGCAAGAAAGACTGGAACACTTTCCTTGTCTTTAAAATGACGAACAAAATGGCATATAAAAAGAAAATCAGTAGGAATTCAGTGTTTTAGTTTTAGTTTACAGAAAGAATACCTCAATTTAACGTTATTTCCAAATTGTTTCACATCAAATGATAGTAAAAACTTATGGACCTTTTATGCATTATAATGTTTACACTTTCAGACAACGTGGGCCGGGATGTTTCGGAACTCCAGAAGTAAAGAGAAAGCTCTTCAAATCTACGAAGTAATAGCACTTGCAAAGAAGCGAAGTGATGACGGTTTATCATGACAAAAATAAACGACTAAACATCCTGAGATTGGCGGACTCAAAACAGGCTTCAATTAGAAGTGTTTACCTACATTTGTAGTTGTTCGCAGAGGGTTTTTCGGGGGTCAGTATTATAAACTGAGAGAATAAATCAGTTCATCGTTTTGGCTAACTTTCCTGAAGCAATAAAAATTGTGCCCGATTTCATTCTGCCCATTTTTTTTATTATTTGAGCCTGCGGCTCGGTACCGCAGATCGGGCCAAAGGCAAAAGGCGTAGATTCCTAAACAGGCCATAGCCCCCTCTTCGTTTCAGACTGGCAACAAGCAGATGCGATTTGAAATAATAAAATAACATACCCATCATACACAAAGTGGCAAAGCATCAGAATTGTAAAGAAAGTACCGATGCATGAATTATACATAAACTAAATGTCAGAATATAGCTCAACAAAAAACATAATTATTACAGAAAGAATTGAACTATCATTTAATTAAAAAACGAAAGTATTATACCCAATTAAGTCTTAATATAGTGGCAACTTTAAGTAAAATAAAAAATGAAAACATCATTAGGAAACACAGTATGCATATAGCTCTTCTAAGCAACAGATTGTGTACGAATACAGTGAACAATGAAGAATATGTAGGACCAAATAATAAATTATGCTATTCGCATAGACATTGCAAAACTAATAAAACCTTGAATCTTCTTTAACAACTTTAAGGAGTTCCAACTATAAGATTATAATGATCACAGATATAATCTTCAATATCATGATAAGGCTCGCGGGCATATCAACACGACGTATAATGAGCTTGAGGAGTTTATTAAGCATGATAAATATTTTACGTGCTCCCGAGCTCTGCGGCTTTGTTTCTCGCAAAAGCGCGACTGGACTGAATTTTTCAGATTTCGAGATCAAGACTGTTAGTAGCAGAATCATCACCAATGAATTTCTTAATATAACATTTTGCAAATCATGTGCATAAATATTAGATATTTGATACGAAACGTTGGTTTGCGGGATTTACGGCGAAACCAAAAGTACGGTCTCGGAAGCGGCGTTATATCTTTCAAATCAGCTTTGGCGACAGCGATGACGTCACTATCGTTCCACAGTCACAAGAGTCAAGTTCGTTCAATTTCTGTAGGCATTGCATGTTAAAGACGCAACACCAATCGTTATCACAAATTGAAGAAGAGAGACTCCGCCCTATGATTATTCGCAACATTAACCAGTGTGACTTGAGCAGCAGCGGACCCTCAACAAACCATACACAATGTGTAATACCTGGGTCAGTAGGAAATATGGCGTGGTTGTTTAGGATTCTTATATACAGGTGTCCGGGGAGCAAGCGACGATATGGAGGTTAGACGGACCAGATTATGCCGATAGTGGTTTAAATCACGGGATATCGGCGAAACATAAAGCGTGTCGCGTAAACTTCTGCACATATACTGTACCCACAGTATTTTTATGGGTGTCTGTTGCTTGAGAGACTAAGACAACAAAACTAATATACTACAAAATTAATTAATTCCTGAACAATATTCTGTGGTCATTGCATGCGCTTGGTTATATTTCGCTCTGTATTACTTTTGAGCAGGATATTTAATTAATGATCATAAATAAATGATACTGGAATCGCTGCTGCAGCGACGCAAATTCTCGAAAAAATGTGCTGACATTTAGCGCAGGTGTTCCGACTCAATGGGCTTTTTCCGTGGTTTCCACGGCGCATGCGCGGGAGCAGCAGACAGGAGTCCGCCATTTTTGGTGGCGTAATACGTCCGGCTCGGGGCTGCAGGAGGCAGCGGTGGTCGCGCGTTTTGAAGCTCTCCGAGAGGCCCTAGTGCTGTTTCGTTGTTGGCTGCAGCAACGACGGCAAGCGTTGACGCGGTTTAAGCTTCTTTGGGTTTCTTTTTACTAGCCTGCGCTCGACGAAGAGGCAGCTCTGGATTCGGGCGATCCAGCGATACAATGCGGACGGCTCGTAAAGGCAGCCTTCAAAGCACTCCCGCGTTTGCAGTTGCCACTTCAAGGAAGGTTCATGTTTTCGTTCCTTCATTTTTTATTTGTGTGTGGATACAAACCAGCAGATTGGTTAGGTATGCTGTCGTGTCGCTTACGTGTCACGTAGAGCGAGCGCCTCGGAGTTGGCGTGTCTGGGGTAGTGCGTTTCACTGGCACACTTTTTTGTTTACCAATGTGACGGTCTTGCGTTGCTACGCAAACTGCATGTCTGCTTTTTGGTCGTTGTAAAGATTCAAATAACCCAGAGTTTTCAAATATTTATAAAGCATTGAGTATAGTGGCTATGCTGTACAGTTTGTTGCTACGTGCACACACAGAAAGTGAAATGGGAGCAGATTTATCGCGACCACGACCGCATCTGCTGGTCTTGTGGTTAAATAAGAAAGCGGAAACAATCGCCTTGATGTGTTGTCCTCGAATATGTATCGAGTAAACAAAAAAGAAGTTTGCAACATTGTCTACAGGCGCGGAACTAAAAATGAAGGAAGAAAAATGTGGCCGATTTTGTGTTTTTTCTTTAGAACCTACAGTCACACACAGGTGTGGCCTGAAGTGGTGTGATATCAATGACGAGGCTCGTTTAGAAATCGGTGGCTGCACGTATTAATCTTAGATATCTATTAAATATGTATTTTAGTGGTGAATTTCACCTTGTGAAATTTCAAAGTGGTGCTTTTTTCCAGTAAAAAACGAGACCAACAAACTCGCCAGGGTCAGCGGCGCTCGCAAACGACATTTAGTATAGTTGCTGAACAACTCCTCGGTTGTCCCGGCCAAGTTTGTTGGTCTCATTTTATAATGGAAATGAAGCCAACGTTGAAATTTCACAAGGTGAAATCCACTACTAAAATAAACCTTTGATTAAAATTACGTTGGTACGTTCAGGCGCCGGCGTTTTTCGGACGGTTTAGAGTAAGCTTTCACATTTATGAGAATACATCTTACCAATTAAAATGTTTGAACAAATTAAACAAATAGCTTGCAATTAAAAAAGGCTTTCCTTAACTGTAACTTGGTCTCGAATCCTTTCTGAATTTACTGCCGGTACTGCATATGACATGAATCCTAGTTTAATGTAATCGTTTGTACCTTCTGATAGGTCGAAGAGAGCTTCAACGGTGTCGTCAGTCACAACGGAAGCCATGGCAAACTAAGTTGTCCATTCTTTCGGGGGAAAAAATATTCAAACGGACGAAGTCGTCCGTAGTTAACGGATTAATTGAAAACAAATCTGCTCGTCGATTATATTGGATAGAGAAAAAAAAACGCTGAGCAGTGAGCGCATTTCCTGACCGCGTTCCGACAGCCAACATAGCTTGGAGAGGGCAGAACCGGACGCAAAGCAAGCCATCAAAAACGCCTTTCCTTCTTGCCGATAGATGGCGCCCAACATTTGCTGAAAAGGCCCATTGAGAGTGGGAATTTTAACCTCGCAACTTCGCATACTGCTGCGTTCGGAAAGTCAATCTGTTCTCTCGGCGTCGGCGGTTTTGAATGCAGCGAGCACAGCTTCACCTAAAAAAACCCGAAGAAAAATAAAAAAATAAAAAAAACACAAGGACGAGGAAGTGACAGACAAGAGCGCTAACGCAAAACACACAATGACATCCTCGTCCTTGTGTTTTTTGGGCGCTTTTTTAGGTGATCATGAATCAACTGGCTCAAATCGCTTCTTTCAAAGGGCCCTGCAACCATATTTAAGCGTCCATCTTTTTTGTGGTTTCCACATCTCTTGGGGTTCGGACAAGCCAGCGGGCCAAATTCAAAAGTCAAAGTCAAATTTGGGGGTTTTACGTGCCAAACCAACGACGGGCATCTGGAACGCCTCAGCTAAAGTGAACTAGAGGAGGGGTAGTGAGGTCAGGCGCCGAGGCGCGCCATGCATTGCTGTGAAACGGCGCGTGTGGAAAGGTCCCGGATGTACGCGGTGGCGCTGTGGACGTAGTGGCTGTAGGATCCGACGTCGGGGACGTGGGTGACGTGGATCCGACCGCTTCCGAGCGTTCCGAAGGCCCTGGGTGAGAAGAGTTGGCTTGAATTTTTGGCAGCTCAAAGTGGCCCCCATTCAGAACCGGGCTTTATCCCGCGTTACCCGTGTCTGCTGTCGTTTATGGTCATTTAAGTGCCATGCCGAATCGACGTCGACAACGCCACTGCTTCGCTCCGGGGTGCCAGAGGGGCTATCAGCTGGCGGAAAGGTGAGCAGCCGTAGCTGTTCTCAGTGCCTTAGGAGGAAGAGCAAGGAAAAGTTTGGGAACGTAACTTGCATCGCCAGGATAAGCTCCTGGACGAAACGTGTTCGGTGTGTGAGCTTCATTTCGACCGATCGTTTTTTACGCAAGACATCGTTTACGTTATAAACGATGAAGAGGTGCGCACTCCGCGTGGAAAGCCGCAGCTCTTGCCGGGCGTTGTACCGACAATGCTTCCAGATGCTCCGAGCTACCGATCAAAAAAAAACAAAAGGTCGCAGCGAAGGCCCACGAAAAAGCGAAAAAACGCCGATGCTTCCTCAGTTGACGGTAAAAAAAGGCCACACACTGCCTCTCCAACTGCCTGCAGCAGCACTGGCAGCACCACACCGGCTGCAGCCGATACCTGGGCATTTAATGAAGCCTGTATGCTCGAAGAATACTCCACGCTGCGTGCCCCCTCCGAGTACTGGAGCCGTCACCGAGTTCCGAGCCTCAGTGGTTTCGTGTACTGTAAACTTAAAATGTGTGACAATGAAATTTTATCCGAGAGAGTAGTGATTTTTTCACGAGACAGCATGCCTGGTGTTGTATACACTGTTCATCTTTGTGGCCGCATGGCTGAAGGAGGACGCGTCGTCAGCTGCGAGGAAGCGGAGGCTCGTCTCCGAGACGTTGACTCCTATCGTCTCTGTGGAGGTGCGGTGCCGACGAAAAATAGGTCCCGCGAACAATTCCGGTAAAATGTAAACACATTGG